TGCATCTCTTACTCTGCGAGCATAATGTGCTGGACACCCGTCGTACTGTAACCACATCATTTGGCGAACGTTTAGTGGTACATTTTCTAATAAAGGCCCCTATGAAATAATACAGCATGTGCTAGAATAAGTTCAGAAACGATAAGGCATGCACGTGATGCAGCGATGCGATAGTTGTAACTTTGCATTCACGCAAACGGTCACCACTTCGAGCATCTCCTGTAATGTAAGAAAGTTTATTTTTTTACCACATTTGACCTTGCATGACCTTCAATGATAGCTCGCTGAAGTTGTCTCAACACCGGATATCACATCGCCATAAAGAAACATAGCATTCCATTAAAAAAAATAGAAATGACCTTGAAATCTCCTCTATGCTTCCACTCACACAGAAAATGTTTGTGTCACAATATGCCCCCCTCTATACCGTGTAAGTTTTGCATATAACATTTTTTCATATTATTACAAATAATGGCAATATTCAAAATGGACATAGTTATTACCCCACCCTGTATATGGGAGTATTTAGAATGCTTACGATCAATTGCACAAGGTTTGGACATTCTTCAAGGACAAAAGAATATCCATTACGGAGTAACTTTACCTTGCATTTTGTCATTGCAGCGAAAACTAATAAATTTTAAAGGGAAGGACTGGGTGTTTTACAAGCCGTTAATTACCACATTGGTAAAAAGCTTGAATCTCAATTTTAGTTCTGATACGGCAAGGAATGCATCTATAGCTTTCTTTTCACACCCACAGATGAAAAACAGATGGTTGGCATTTGTTCCTAACAAATTTCATGATTCTTTACTTCTTAGAAGACTGTGACCAAAGTTATGCAACATTACACAATATAAAAGATATTCCCATTACTTCCAGTCGCAGGAACAGTAGGATTGAAAAGTTCTTAGATTTTGATGTAGTAAATGAAGTACAAACTGATCTTGAAGCGACTGCATCAGAACATCTAATAGCACAATATTTCCAAGATTCGAACTCGGAATTAAAGAGTTTGGATGCGTAACAGGCAATAAAACGTATACATATTTATAAAATATAACACGCCTATACCATCTTTGGCTCCAGTCGAACGGATATTTTCTTTAGCAACTACGACCAATATGCCAAAATCGAACAACCTCTTGGACAGTATGTTTGAAAAGAAAGTAGTTTTAAAGGCAAACATGAACTACGAACTATCTATTGGAAAAGAAAATTAATACAACAATTAGTTGTAATTATGTAAATATTATACTTACAGGTAATAACGATATTAATTTCGCGACGTTTTCATTGTATGTACAAAATACAAGAAATAAGAGAAGATCAAAAACTATTTATTTGTTTTCCACCTAAATCCAAACAAGAAATAATCTTTTATTTGCAAATAGAAAATAATAAAGAAATTACTTTTGGCATTATATAAATGACTTTTATTTAAATAAAATATTTCCTTGTTATTTGCAATTACAATCACACAAAAAGAATTGCCCATTTAAAATAAAAATTTGCACAACTCTGACCTGTAGTCATAGTATATGTATATGTACTATAGTATACCTTATTTTAAGATCGACGGGCGTATCCAAGGGGGGTGGGGGTAGGGAGGGGCACTTGCCTCCCCCCTTGGACGGAAAAAATGTGGCTTTTGCCAAACCCTACAAGAAAAAAATTGGATTTTGCTCCATCACCCCTCCCTTCACAGAGTTATGAAATTTGTGCGTAACATTTAATATTACAGTATAATTTGAAACCTGACCAACAATCTATATTAACAAAACAAATAAACATTTTCAACGATTTATGACTTTAAAAACAAAATAAAGTGTGTCTGGCTACGTACAGCCTTTTTCTTTGTGGCAGTCAACGTATTAATATTTTTGCCCCCCCCCCTGACTGATCACTTGGTTACGCCCATGGTAAGATCTATTGGGTTTCACATTTGTTTCTTTTTTTTCCGATGGCATACAAGTTACTTCAATCTTTTCTAGTTCTCACACCGCGGCGAAAAGAATCAAGTTCGTATGTTTAATAGTTACTGAGAAAAAAATTCTTTTGTGATGATAGTTTTCGTAAAGATGGGTAAAGATTACCAACTTTGAGGGTCTTTTTTAAACAATTTTAAAACCAACAAAATTATGACTTAACCCCTCCCTATTTTCACATGATGTATAACATATTTGAATTTAAGCAAAATCACAGACATCATGTACAAAAGTGATCCACTTGGCGTGGAATGTCCCGTAAGGAGGGCGTAAACGAAAAGCTACATAATCATGTTTTGGTTTCAATATACATACATACAAACGAACGATAGGGTACCGATACATACGACGAAAAAAAGGTCTTCAAATATGGGAGGCTCTACTGTATAAGTAAATTCGATCTGTCCATAAATCCGTTTCGATTAATGCAAAGACAGGGGATGCAAGGTCGTGGTGGACCAGCGAGGGGTCAGAGCCAGGTTTTCCTCGTACGACACTGACCGCTGGGGGTTAATTATCGTTGACTCCCTTGAAAAGCTCTCACGCTCAAACCCTTCCGGGCTGGCAAACGCGGCCTGACCAGCCGCGACCACCCCTTAAAGGTAGCCCCTGCCCATCGACGAGAGACTCGGACAACAACCGGTAATTTTTCTTCAACGATCCGCGCGCTGCTTCTCTCTTTCGTACGCCTCGGTTCGTTTCCCTCCCTCCTTACACGATCCAGGGGGTGTGCTTCGTTGGAGGACAAGCAGAGAATAAACCAGGGGGCCCTTCCATTCGGGTTACATTTCAAAGCGAACCAATAGAATGGGGTCAACTGTGAAAGTAGGGGTCACTCGTCGGGGCATACTTTGCCGGTGCAGGCAAAGTCGATTTTTGTTAAGAAGCATCCTCACGGTGTATTTTCACAATTAACGCACCACCGCGGATGGTGTAACAGTGCTCCGGGGCAAAATCATAAGAGGTTCAGATCTCAGACACGGGCGACTGCCAGGATAAACATAGATCAATGATACACTCCGGGGAGGGAGGGGAGAAATGTTACAGAATTTCTCTGCAAATACTATGTACGGTCGCTTGAGTTGAATTTTCAATGGACGATACTTTATCTACGGCAAAATTCATTATTTGGATAAACAGTTTCGATTAACACGTTGAGGACGGCGCAGATTTTGCTATGTCGCGCCGCCGGACGGCAGTAAAAATCGTATAGCTGATATAAGCCACCAGTGGTACACGCCGCCAGATGAACCATTCGTGTGTGAGCCACCGGTGGTACACGCCGCCAGATGAACCATTCGTGTGTGAGCCACCGGTGGTACACGCCGCCAGATAAATTATTCGCATGTGAGCCACCGGTGGTACACGACGTCCTCAACGTGTTAAGAAATAAAAGATTTAAGATAATATGATATTTGGTCATTGTTAACAGTTTCAGTGCATGCATCCTAAAAGTTCTTGGAATTGCAAGAGGTGGGGGCAAGTGACCCCAAATGATTTAAAACCCGAAATATATCCTGCACTATGGACTTTCAAAAAAAATTGTATAAGCCTTTTTGGAGATTAATGTTTGTACTTTGACCTAGAATAGTTGTAATTAAAGAAAAAATAAAGTAAAGTAATAAAAAAGGGGGTTTAATATGAAGATGTTTTCAAAAATCGAGGTTCAGATCAAACGGAGACTGATGTCTTCTATCCCCCCCCCTTCCCTCGATACACTCGAAGTGTTCATTGATTAATTGTGGAAATTTCGATTTCTATAATACATTAATATTTATTCACAAACAGAGTAGACACTTGGCGAACGGTTGTTTAATCTGATTGACTGTTTAAAGGTCAGGATGGCGATCTTAGATACTATGTACTGCTTTTCACTATGTACTTATTATTCGAATAAAATTCTGCCCAACTCTGTTTAGGGGTAACTTTACTGCTAAAGATATAATTGTAGTTCAAAATGAATTCGATGACGTAACGAAGTTTCGTACTAAATATTCTTGGAAGCAATGAAGTTTTCTAATCTGTTTAGTTGCTCTAGACGTTGATAAACCCCCTTTTTTTCTACTCATGTTGACATACGATCTTGCGTAACGAGACTGCAACAGTTCTACCACGAAATTCGCATTGTGTAATCGTATAGAGTGTATTTAGTTACGTTTCGACAAAGAGCGACGAGACTGCACGGAATTTCCATGGACGCGTGTACTCTTGTGTACAATAATGAAATTGTTTTAGAGAACTTTGTCGTCAAAGATATTTCAAAAGAAACAAGGAAAATGTTGATAATCTTGCGCGATGATTTATCGAAACAATACTATCGAAGTAACGTTGATGAAAAATGTAAGAGTAGGTAGTAAATTCGGATTTTATCCCGATCTATTAAAAAAAAAAATGTTACATGTACAGTGTGTTTCATAAGAGCGTTGGAACGATATCTGGAAAAATAATTGATATTTTTAAAAAATTCAAAAACAGGCATATAGTACATCTAAAACACTACGACGCAAGTGCCTAATTGGTCTAATATAATGAATAATCCGCTTCATTTTCAAGTATAGCCTCTATGCTTTTGCTCAAGTTTTCCGCGTACCCCTCAAGGAATGTCCTCCATATTTGCTTAATTTGGCGGCATAGCTGCTTTAAAGTAAGTATAGGCCTTCCTTGAAGCTCAGGCTTGATCATTCTCCAGACAATATTTAATCGGATTAAATATGCCTTTTTTTTCCTTTTTTTTTTTCTTTTCTTTGTCACAATTACCATATATTTGCTTGATATAAAAAAATATAATTACAATGTAACAAGTCAAACTTGTAATGTATAAAAGTTCAGTTGTTGTAATTTCAATCTTCTTTCCTATTGCTAATTACGTTTCCAAATGTTTTATTTAACTGAGTACTAAGTGCAACAAAACTAAAAGTTTATATAAATGTGGTTTTACCCGAAATACCAAATTCATTCAGGACAGTTGAATTTTTAATCAAATATGCTAGTTGTGAAGCAACTGTATCACCCAATACATCAACTAAAAATCCAGTTTTTCCAGAAATCATGAATTCTATTGGACCATCTGAGTTATGGGCAATCACTGGTTTACTTGTATACATTGCTTCAAAGGGAACAATACCAAAATGTTCATGGTGTGGTGTGTGTTATCAGAATTTTATAATAATGTAGATAGATATTTTGTTAATATCTGAAGGTGAACGAAGGAATATCACTTTATCTGTTTGCAATCTTTTGCGAAGTGTCCACCACCGTTACAACGGTAGCAAACATCCTGAACCTCTTTGCAGTCACGTGCATAGTGTCCAAATTGGTTGCATTTGTCACGATCGCGTCCATAACCGCCTCCATGGTCATATCCACGGTCACTTCTACCACCACCGGCGCCTCCACCACCACCGCCTTGTGGACACTCTCGTGCAAAGTGCCCTATCTGGTTACACTTGTAACAAGTGCTTGAACTCATGTTTCAAACTCCTCAGGTACTCGATGAACACGAACAATGAATTCTCCTTCGATTGGATTTTACCGACGCGTTGGTGACAATGGGCTCGGGGGATGGGTTCGTGTTGCGAATTTATCACGACTAAATTTTTGCTTGTCCCCTGTTTCGGTCAATCCATTTAAGGAATTTATCCTGTGATAGGGACTTCGATGGTGTAGGGAGAAATAAATGTTAAGAGATTTATTGATATTAAAATCTTTACTGATTTGTGTTAAATGTTTAAAATACACGTTCGAGTGACTGGTAATATAACGAGGTGACTCGACAACTGATTGTCTAAAACTGGCGCCGAGCTCTCCAGTTCGAGCCTTTTTAAGATGCCCGTTTCCACCCCCTGTCCTCGGGGTTTTTTCTGTAAAAATCCAATGCCGAACGTCTCGGGGTAATTTCCCACCACTACCACGTGCTGAGCCAACTCCAGACTCCAGGCACCGCGCGATTTCTCCAACGTGAGAAAGCTCCGGAGACATAGTCCAGACGCAACACCCCGATGTTCAGAAATTTTCGAAGGACAAGTCCTCGAAGATTTCCGCACTTCCAGTTGTACGTCTCGGTTCGTACTTAATTTATTACGGTAACCCTGGGTGGCCCAAGCATGCACAGTGTGGAAACGCCCGGCTAACGCTCGGGGATAATTTCTGGGTTTTGTCAAACACTCTAATAGTTTAATAATTTATCCCCGGGAACAGGAGATGGTCGTAGCAATTCGTTACGGACGTAACACCGGTATAGTACCGGTATTTTATGTTTCGGTAGAAGTCCCTGTAAAATACCGGTATTATACCGGTATATATTTCGGTTTTCCGTAATATCGGTTTCGGTATACCTTTGGTATTGTATCGATATTTTTCGGTTGTACCTTCAAAACCCTAATAGAAATCGAAATACGAAAATACGGATATGATATTATACCGCTGTATAAAAATACTGGTATATTTACCGATATTTACTCATAATTTTTTCAGTTCATTACATTTTTGAAGATATATTTCATTATATATTTACGACGCAAAACTTAAAAGAACAATGTCGAAGAATGTATGTGCATGAAATAATTAAATAACGTACAATATTGGCAACTTCTGACGATCCTGTGTATGCGCATATTGGTCCTTATTTGTCTCATCGCAGCATTCTTTTAATTCAATGAGACATTCTAACATATTAAATATGAAATGCCACTATGTAGGACAGTTTATAATTGGCTTGTTTGTATCGCCTTTAATAACCTGTTCACTTTTTTGTTTGATTATACTTGTATGAAATCAATATGAATCTATATCAATATGAAAATACATAATCTTCGATGCTTTTCACCTTCTTCCTGGATGTTTCACTTATCATAGACTCCTTCGTAGTCTGATTTTCTGTCATCATCTTTAGCACCTTTACCAGTTGAATTTGAATGAGTAAAATCTATCGATTTAAAAGATTTGATACAGGATTTTGCAAAATTAAAGTCAAGGAAAAACATATCAAGTAAAAGTTTATTTTAAAATACCTTTTTGATGTTTGTCTTTTAATAATATTTATTTGTGAATCATTATTCTTCGTTATGATTAAATGTTTCTTAATTCTATTTAGAATAATTTCAATTTTGAAGATTTATATATTTTATTGCATGCTTTATTACAAAACCCCCTCCACCACTTTTTAACGAACATTTTTTCATTTGGTCTAAAGTCTAAACGCACCATAAGGAGGTACCGATCCATGTCGCGACACTTGGCATTTGGGATCGATGCGTCGTTCCGACGATTGTAATTTTTGTAACATTGTAAGGTAATTGTCCCAGTTGTCGATCAAGACCCAGTTCTCGATCATTTTTATAAATAAATAGCATTTTAGTTTCAGAATTATTTTTTACCCGTTTGTGAGCTTTCTTTATAACTCCCTCTTTCTTGATCGACTACTAGGACAATTACTGATCGATAAGTTCCGACCGTAAATTAGTGAGTGACGTTTAGGTCATCAACATTTTTATTCTCAGTTGTATCTTCCACATTTAAATATACATAGAATCTAATTTTTTACCATGCTATTATTTATATTAGTGTTAAAATTAACTGTTAAAATCAAAACGATTTATTTTTCATTTTTTCATTAAAAAAGTGTCGTCTTCTTACTAACTGATCGAAAATTGGGGCAACTACCTTATTCTTTTGAATTTGCGATCATACTATACATAGTACCAGAAAAATGCTGGTAATTAAAATGGTTTCTCGGTACTACAGTGATTGCAATACTACATCAGTTTCGATCTAACTTCGTTAACATAATATCAGCTTTAAATAACTGCTTATAAATATCTTGAAAATTGTAATATAATACAAAAACAGAAAAAATTACCGGTAAATTTAGGTAAATATACCGGTATGTTCACGTACCGGTATTTTCTTACTTCGGTTTCTATAAGGGTTACGAAGGTAGACCCGAAAAATACCGGTATAATACCGGTATTTTACGTTTTGATAGAAGTCCCTGATTTTAATTACAATGATCAAGGAAGACACGTCACTTGCGAATACACGTGTACTGTAAAGTAAGACAGAGTCTAATTAGAGCAAGAAGCTGACAACTTGCTGTTTAAAATTCATGTGCCTATTGACCTTAGAGTAGGTTCAAAGAGCAGTACCTACGTAGTACAGTGATTGCTTGTGTCAAGAGCCGTCACGAAGAGAATGTATAATAGCGACACACGCAATAGCTGGGGACGCATGGCTGAGCATAATCAAACCTACATAATCACGCGCGTGCATCCTTAATAATTTTAATATGTTTTATTAGAATTCATTTTCAGGAATTTTGAGATAGAATTACCACATCTCTGTTACGATATATACCACGCACACAGTTTATTCGATTTTTTTAAACAACAGTTTTTCACTTTTCCATATAAACATGAAAACTATTTAAAATACACGCGCTCTAATTATATTTGCTGATAATAAGATGCAAAAAACGATTACGTAACACAGTAATTGTTTATTAACAATTATATTTAACTTCGTAATTAAACAATGAATGTTCATGAAAATAAAGTAAATCCGTGTCTGTGTAAAATAAATGAATTGATATATTTAAGAGAAAACAGTCCTTATATAAACTAACGATTTTATAACTTGACACTCATAGTCATTATTATTCAAAGAAAAAAGAACAAACCCCTGCAGCTAGATATAATAAAATCACAGACTCCAGATTAAACTTACCAACTATCAACCTTGCTCGGTTTAAGGGAGTCTTCTACTGTAGAACTTCGAAAAAAATGGATTCTCTTTGTTTTGCATTTGTACTTAAAGAATAAATTTCGGAAATGTTTGAAGGAGTCGGCACACAGCACGCAGCGCGCAAAAAACAATAATACAGTGGAGATAGTGGCAGTAAGACTTATAAAGGCATTTTAGAAATTAAACTATTTGATATTAACGGAACATTGTCCAGAAAAACGAGTTGGTCACGTTGAGACATGAATGGGCACAATTTTACGCAATCTAGAAAAAGAGAACACGGATATTGGCGGCAAAGGTACCAAAAAGTTAACGAACAAAGTAATCGACAGGCTTACAAAATACTATGGTTTGGGCATCGTAGAAGTTCTGTCTCTGTTGATGACATGAAAAGACCTCCTGGTTTAACATTCTAGTGTAAATGGTGTGAAACAGAAACAGTTGATGCATTTGATGACTTTTCTTATTTCTTATAATGATCCACCTCTTAAAGAAGAAATTTTAGACAGAACGAAACCAATTTACGGAGATTTGTCATCGAATGATTGATTAGTAGGGATAAGATTTGGGAGCAAAAACTCAAAATAGTAACGAGTTGATAAATTCGTTGATTTGGACTTTTGTTCGAAAACACATTTATTCAGGACTATCAGCCATCAAAATTTACACTTTTCTTGCTGTCAGTATTTTTAACGAAGGATTTTCAACTGTTTTGAATGTTCTCTCTAGAATGGGAGAGACTGTTGGACGAAAGGCGAAGATGTATGTGAATTCGTAAGACGAATAACCAAACCACCGCACGAAGCGATGGTCAACAAAGACTTAAAAGAGAGCCAGGATTGCTTATAGAGAAGAGATATCAACTGAGCAGAACTTTTTGAAGAAGAGAAAGGTCCTCTGCATGGTCCAGGGTTGGCGGATTAGTCGTAGGTATAATGATTTCCATTGAAACAACATCAAAATACTTTGAACGCGTTTTTCTCATAACCATGAGTTTTAAAATGGCGTTCATGATATATGAAGATCTACTTGACCGATTGACCTCAAACTTTGTGTGCAACGTTAGTACACGTGTCGTTATCCTCCCTGCCAGAGTAAAGTCAAAAGTATTTTTTTCTCATTTCTGTAGTCCGTAAATGTTGACACGTGAATAAACATGTACAAACAGTACGGACGGTAAAAGGATTAATAGTTCCTTCGTAAAAGAAAATGTCAAAAAACGACTACAGAGGCACGTCTTACAGTAGAATACCCCCTTGATTCTATGGTACAATCTTTAATATTTGTTACAGTATAAAAACTTGTTCCTGATAAAAGAAAACACGAATTTCAATAGTACAGTCCATGTTTCTGAAAAGTGCTGCATAAGAATTTGTATTACAGTTACTTTTGCAACAACGTTTACCTACATGCATTATTCTTTAAAGGATAAAACCTCCATCTAGAGCATCTTTAGTACTCAGAACTTAATCATTTCTACTTCTTAGAGGTGTAAATGATTTCATTGGAGACAATACGGGTTGACATCCTTGACAGGTTGCGTTTCTTGTAACATCTATAAAACTTTCCTTAATCTTACTTGGCACACTTCTGACTTCATCCTTTCGATAATTTTCTGCTGCTGTTCTATTTTTTTTCCTTTCAGTCGTAAATCCTAAAAATGTATATTATTTTACTATGCGAAAGGTGTACTAACTCTTCTACATGGACTGCAGATATTTATGCATTTATTGCATCGTCTCATTTGTAAATCATGGTAAAATAAAGATTTTAACACCAGAACTACCAGCATTAAATGTACACTAAGTTAAATTGTATAGTACAGCGTCTACAACATTCCCAAGGTCAACATAAATTCCGCCAAAAGTACTATTATAATTTCTATAATTGTAAAATAAGAAACGTCCAATCAGTCATTTTGACAGAATTGGTAGTTCTAGTGTTAATATAATTTAATCCTATTCATGTGTTAGTATTAATATTCTGAAGCCTGTAGTACAATAAACAAAATTCTATCCCGTATTTATAAAGGATATTTGATAACAGGTGTTAACCCAATTTTAAACAAGATTTTACATGCCGAGATAAGACAACAATTAAGAGTAACAACATTGCCGTTATCCTACGTTTTTTAAATTATAAGCATTTAAAAATTGGGGTGCAAATTGCCTGAAAACAGTTAATTCACAGACAACCAGAAAACACAGGGCATCTGAATAGAGGGGCTAATAATGCTGTTAAAGGTCAATGGGAACCACAAATATATTTCGCCAAAACTGGGCGAAATTCGACTGAAAATTCTAGCACAATGTTAAATTTACCCATTCTAATTAAATTCTCACCGATCCAAATCTAAAAAAAATTGCACATACACAGGAAGTATTTACAAACAAGTTCACGGATACACAGCGAGTGTCCATCAAAAAGTTCGCAAATGTCTACTAACAATCTTACAGATACACGACAAATATTTATTAGTAAGGTCACAAATACACTGCGAATGTCCATCGAAGTGCTAAATTAACTGTACCAAACAAAATCAAACTAAATTACACGGAAGAAATAGTAAAAAAAATCGGTATACAAATACGTTCGAAATCGCGTTGTACATACATCGACGAGGCAAGGGAATCTGTTGTCAAGATCTTCCTTGGAAAAGGGCAATCCTCTACAAATCGATCCCCACTTTTCCAAGATTATTGTTTTCACCGAAGAAAGTTGAATAGGAGAAATGTCCTCGAATCTTGCAACTGTCCGTTACTGTTACATGAACATCAGAAGAACACTGGGAAACCGTTGGTAATGTTGTCGAAAATAAACGTATCAGATATTAAAGACGTATGTGTTGCTTGCTGCTTATTGCAAGGACTACACAGGCTTCAACACATTGTACCTCATGGTGCATCAAGACCCCATCAGTCATGAACACTTGACTTTGGTTAGTCGATTGTGCTACTGTTATAATGTTTCACTTCTTAAGATCTCAAATACTGCGGCTAACTTTAGTGAAAACGACAGCGTCTCCAACATTTCCAAGTGTTTTAGAAACGTTCACGTAACAGAATACTATTCATAGAACAGGGATGTTTAATATTGTGCAAGAATTTTCAAAGTGAAACTTATTCCTGTAACACCAACGAATATCGGCGAATTTGCCACAGATTCGACTAGGTAAGCGTGTGGTCCTCGTTGACTTTTTACGGCACTGTAGACCCCTCCGTGTAGCTGTCCTGTGCTTGCCGGTTGTCTGCAGATTGCCTAGGTTCAAATAGGTCTCACCCCAATTTTTAAATGCTTATAACTAGACTGCGGATTTTTATGCAAAATGATATTTTCAAAAGTAATTCATAAGGACAAGTGTAAACATAGGAATTTCTCACTTCTTTTAAGCATCTTATTAGGCTCAAAATCATAAAAAAAGTTTTGTCTTTTCTTGTATTTCACAGAGCTCTATAGGCTATAAATACATTAAACCCGCAGTCTACTTATAACTGAAAAACGTTCGCTCGAAGATAATTTTGATAATTTTAATTGTATTTTCGCATGTTGAATCTTCTCTTAAAGTTTTCTGACACCTGTTTTCAAACACCCTGTATATCGGTATCTAGAATTTAGAATCTGCATAAACTTCCGCAGTCTACTGATAAGGGAAGGGCAAACTCCAAAACGGTTAGACATACCTCTTCTAGTTGATTAATTTTATCTTTCAACTGGGATACATGCTTAATTCTTTGTCTATGATTTTGATGGCCAATCAGCTCAGCATACTTTTCACTCATCTCCTCATGATCTTTTTTCAGATGCGCGTTATATTCACGAAGTTTTCTGACTTCTCTATAATAATAAAAACAGCTTGTGTTACCTAAGGAATAGAATTAATAAATTAAATAATTTATATGGAAAAAACTTACTCTTCGGCTGCTTCTCGTCGAGCTCTTTCTTCTTCGAGTAAATCAGTCTTGTCTTCTATGGCACCAACACCTTTTTCCTCGAGAACTTCAATCGTGTTAGAAAGTTCTTCAATTCTAGTACTTGCCTAGAAATATGTGGGTGTGTTACATGATATAATGGTTACATAGTAGAACTTTGTAGCGATACCTCATTTAAAGCAGCTTGATGCTTTACCACTTCAGCTTCCAGAAATTTATTAGTTTCCACCATTGCTGTTTCACTTTCTTTTAACCGTTCATTGAGTTTACGGTGTATCAATTCCATTCTAGAAATCTCAAGTTCTTGCGCATCACTCTTCTTCTCCAATGTATGCAACATATTTTGCATTTCACTTAGACGATCGGCCATTTTGCGAAGTTGATTTTTCATCTAATGTTTCAAATAAAACATTCATTAAAATTCACCCTCTAAAATAAAAAAATTTACTGAAAATGTTTAGAACACAAAAAAAGGCAAAGCACCTCGGCATTTTGAGCATCTTTTGCTTCACAGTCGGCTTGAAACTGCGTTACTTCCTTCGTTGTTAATCGTTTCACATCTTCGATTTTAGATTCAAATACAGATCTGATCAATTCGATTACATTTATTCTTTCTGATTCCAACAGGATTACCAACTGCTTGCTAGCATCGAACTGTTTCATTAAAACATGTGTCTGTACATGTATTTCTTTTGAAATATTGCGCATACCAGTCAGTAAATCGCGATACTCATTTATACAATCTTCTCCGAGTTCCAGTTCATATTTCAAGCTTTCTTCGTCAGCATTACCTTGTGTTAAATGTTTAGTTAAGGTATCAACTGATGCTTTATTTTCTGCTATTATAACTTCCAGTCTAAACAAGAGTTCAATATTGGTAATATCTACTTGGTTACATAAAAGCATACATACATGATTGAAAAATTGTACCTCTTTTTTCTGATCTCCATTTCCGCCGCCTCCGTACGAATCTGATCCTTCAGAAATATTAATCCTTCCTTCTTCTCTGTTAATTCAATCTTTGCTCGATCTAGCTCCATCTGCAAACTTTGGCCACAGCTTTCCTAAATTTTACAAAATTAAGTATTTAAGACAATTTAATTAATTTTATAATTATGCTTTCTTTCATTATCCTATTATAACACCTGAGTCTCTACGGAAAATTTAAGCTCCTCAAGAATTGCTAAAAGTCTGTTAATTTCAACGTCATTTCGCACTAATTTTTTGTCCAATTCTGATCGTTCCTTCTCTATTTGAGCCAAATACTTTTTATACCTCTCCGCGGTCAGTCGCATTTCTTCCTCTATAGCAGTCTTTGCTTCTCTGATCATAACATCCACCTATATTGACAGGGTATCATTAAAAACTATACCATATTGATGCATTAATAAGTTTACGTAAAATAGCGTTTTACCCGTGCATCACTTTCAGTGATTACTTGTTTCAATCTCTTCTCAGATTCTGCAAGTTTATTAGCAAAACTATTAATGCAAGAACTGAGTTTAGTTTTTTCCTGTTCCAATAAATCAACTTTATCATTATGACTCTTGGTTAATTTTTCTGCGTTTCTTGTTAGCTCCTCAATTTGTTGTTCATGACTTTGAATCTATAAACCAAATTTAAATAAATAGAATTAATACACATATTTATAGGATTTCATTTTTTAATATTCATGTCAATTTAGATGTTCTACCTCAGACTGATATTTCTCAATATGGCCATTTAACACTTCTTGTTGTAATTTAATCTGAAAGTAGAAATTACAAATAAAAAATCCAATGAAACAAAAATATATATCTGATTATGAAAAATATTTCACAACCACTGTTTCTATGTCTTTCTTATGCTGCTCCTCTGCATTCGTCTGCTTTCTACGTAATTCTTCCATTTGGGATTCTAAGATTTGTGCCTCCTCCTGCATATCCTGTATCTGTGAACACAGACAAAACTATACAAGAGCATGAAAAACACTTACATTATTACACTACATATTACATATTCATTTTTCCATCTGTAGGAAAAAGAATGGAACGAGGTCTTGTTTTTGGACATACTTTTGACACAGTATTCTGTCTTGGAAGTTGTGACTAAAACAAAATATGTTTCTTTTTAAAGTGAAATTAATAATCCTTTTTTCAAATAATTTTTCATTTCTTACAGTTCTGAAGCTGGTTGCACCTTTATTAGTACTTTTATTGCACAATGATAAATCACCTTCACCACTGGTTATGCTTTTATTATCTTTATTATCATGAAATCTTTCTGACTTCTCTATGACAAGACCCTTTAT